CAACTCAACGAGTGTTGCCGGTGTAGAGTGCCCTCTGGTGGACAAACTATACAACTCCAACACTCATGACATGGTTCAAAGCGCGTTTCGTCCGTTTTTATTTTATTTTTGAAATATTCATTTATCGGCCATTATAAATGCCTAATATCGGCCGATAATATCGATCTGGCTCTAGTAGATACACGCGGATAGCTCAAAATGCGTATAGATAACACACCACTTGACTTGAAAGTGACGTGTATGTTTACGCAAAAGTCATGATGTCATGTTGGAGCCAGAGAGTGACATCATATATAGTTTTTTTTTTGCATTGCTGGTAGAAATTTTTAAAGCTCAAAGTCCAAAATTAACAGAGAACAACACTGCAACTGTTTTGTTTTAGTCAACTGTTGACTTAAAAGGTTAGTTCACCCTAAAAGAAAATTATTGTTATTATTTACTCACCCTCAATATAAAATATATATATATATATATATATATATATTGTGCTTGAAAGAACAAAAGTCTTGTGAATTTGGAACAAAGTAAGTATACTTTGTATTGTCCGTTATACTGGTTGGTTTACATAAATGCATTTTAAATTTGTCCAATCAGTGATGTCATGGTTGCATATGGCAGCTAGTACTACTGTCTACCATTCATCTTGCTTTACTATATCATTTTACCAAAAGAAAAAATAAATTATACATTCTTGCAAGCAGTGGCATTTGTTTTGTCTATATACCGACTGCCGCCCAGTGGCATGAAACCCAGTCTTCCAGTTTCTCAGATATCCAAACAAGAAAATGCGGCCACATGGATTTCTCCTCAGGCCTGTATTATGATGTAGAGATCGAGATTTAGTCTCAAACTGAGCTCTGCACGTCTGGCCGAGGGGGTTTTGTTTTTCTTAAAGGATGTCGGGGATAAACACTAAATTAATCATGTTTTGGCTGAACTTGCTGGGGACTGAAATTTGCTTATAGAGGCTCGTGATCACATAAAATATTAAAGACTTTTTCTCAGCGCTAGCAAGAGGGTACGAGAGAGGTTGGCCACCGTCACCCAGCGCAGACCATAAAGACGAGCACATTTTAATGAAACAAACCAATAAATGAGACTTCAGAGCTGAATGTGGGTTATATGTAAATTCACATAAACAGGACAAGTTATGATTTCGCATACATTAAAGGGATAGTTCACCCAAAAATGAAATGCATCACTTACTCAAGTTGTTTCAAACCTGCATGAGTTTCTTATTTGGAAGTCAATGAATATTGGTCAACTGTCCTTTAAAATACCGACATTCATTATATCTTTAGTGATCAAGTATGGAACAACAAACTTTCATTTTTGGGTGAACTATCCCTTTAATGACCTAAATATGCAAGATGGAGACTAACAATATAGGACTCGACGCCAACTTCCCACCTTATTTTCAATTCCAACACATCATTTGCTTCACCGGTTAAGAAATAAACCCATTTATCTTACGGACACAAATTACAGATTAAAGAGTCTTTACAAATGACACGGCCAATGTAAACGTGTTAGCTGAAGCTCTCAGACACGCTCTAAACTCGTTAGCGCACGTTTTCTGTGGTAAACACATTACGTGGTTTATCCCGCCGGAAACACATTCGCCTCACGGACTCGCAGCTCACGATGAGTCCCAGTTTAACAAATACATCACTTCATTACAGACTAGTCGGGCTGCGGGAGTCCCTCAGATTAAATGGCTCTATTTAAGAATCGCGATTTACATCCCTCACACCGTGAAAATCTCCATAGTAACGACACACTAACTGACCCAACAAAGCTTATTAAAATGTTATATTACACTGGTATAGAGGTCAAAGGTCAACTTTTAACTAGGGGAGGAATGGGACACACACACACACTCACTTTAGGTCCGTGCGATGGTGAGATCAGGTCCCGGCCGTGGACGGAGGGAAGATTGGGAGAAGATTGCAGCATGAGGTCGTGTAGGAGGGGGATCGGGTCCACTTAAGGGCCCCCTTGCTGGGCCGGGCCGAGGTTTAGTTGGTGGGGGTGAAGCCGAGCTTCACGGCACACTCCAAGTGCAAATCCAATTCTTCACAATTAGCTGAGTTTCCATGACAGGCACCAAGGTGGGAGAGCCACATCACCGACTGCCACAGCTCTGATTGGGTAATTCGTTCTCCACTATGCAAATGTGATGCTCGGAGGTTGTAGGGGGCGCCGGATACAAGTAACCAAGATGGTGCGATGGCGTCAAGGGTACAACAAATATTGTAAAAACAGGTTTTAGTGTCCCTGTGGGAAAATAGGTGGGCAATTTTATCATAAGTTGACAATGAAACGTCCAAAAACTAGAGAGAGACCATCAAGAATGCAACGAAATCCATACCGATATGTTATGCTTCGGTGATCCGATGTAATGCAACCTTCATTCATAACAGTAATAATTGTATTGCTATATCATCACACATGGCCTAATGGGCAGAAATGCACAACAGTTACAGTTAGTCAACAAAAAATAAAGACTTTGTGAAATCATTTTGCTTACCTCACTTTGCTGTTCATTGTTGCTGCTACATACCTGCAGGTACTGTAGTGCATGACGAATTTAGGAAATTTGCTCTTTTTGTGAAGATTTGGGGGTGGGGGGGTTGAAATGGTCTTTATTCAGCTGTTCAGATTTATTTTTTTTTGTTCTCAATGCTGCTTTTGCAGCAGAGCTCTCAATATTTTTTCTTTTTTTTTCTTTTTTTTTTACAGCTGTTATTTTTTCTAGACCATTTCAGTTCTTTATTTTTTTTTACATTTCAAAATTAAACTCAGGTGATGAATTCAGAAGCAAAGAATTCACTCAAACCATTAAAATCCATACATAAAATATGTACACAAAAGCTACATCCTCATCAGGCTGATTATACTAAGGAAAGCGTACAACATATTTCATAACAAAGCTTCAAAAAAATGCTCTACTGTGGTCTTTGAAATTGAAACATTCTCCATTATTACTTTCAAACTGTAACATTTTCAGAAGTGTTCAAAAGAAATTTGGGTCAACATACTGACCATAAAAAACAAAAATAAGAGCAGAAGTTAGTCAATGTTGACACGATACAAAACAATCGATGAGGGTGAAAAAACTAATTACTCATGAAATTTCACAACTCGGTTATTCAAATTCACAGCCGTTTGACGGATGATCTCCATGTGCTGCTCGGGTTTGATAAGTCAAATAAAAATGTAAATTATAATTTTAAAAACAACCATTTCAAAAACAGAACTCAAGAGTGGTGCACTGCAGCAGGACCGGACAGAAGACTTCATCTTCATCTGCGCCATGAGCGCGACTCGTTATCGTCTTCCTCTTCATCATCGTCCTGCAGCAGGGAATCGTCCACGAGCGAATCCTCTGGGAACTGGAACCAATCAGAAAACACACTCAGAACCAAATGCATGCTCAATGACGAAACCTTTCCAGGTGGTCAGTCACAAATTGCTGGTCTAAGTGATGTTATATACCATGTGACGGTAGAGATGTCATCATGGGTACATACTAGGGCTGTCAAACGATTAATCGGATCCAAAATTAAAGTTTGTGTTTACATAATATAAGTGGGTGCACTGTGTATAATTATTTTGTATATATTGAAATACACACACATGCATGTATATTTACGAAAAAAAACACATTATTTATATGTAATATAAATTATATATAAATCTATATACATGAAAATATTTCCTAAATATATACAAGCATGTGTGTGTATTTATATATATAAAATAATTATACACAGTGCACCCACATATATTATGCAAACACAAACTTTTATTTTGGACTTGATTAATCGTTTGACAGCGCTAGTTAATACCCTCTATATGTGAGTTCTATGTAATCAGAACTGTTATTTACACTCAATAACAATGAATCAAGGAGTAATACAAAAATATACAGAGTGGCTCGTGTCCTGTTTTATTAAAGCAAGTTGTAGGCAATACAAAGACGTTTACAGTTGATAATAAACATCACAACTTTACACAATAGAAAATAATTCTAATATTGTGTGGTCACAGGTGTGCATGACATGTATTGGCTATTTAGGGCCTTTTTACACCTGGTCACTTCATGCGTTTTCTCTGATCGGATAGCTATCAGATCGCGAGAAGACCAGGTGTAAAAGCCCCCCGAACCGCTTTAGAGATGCATTCCAGACTAGGGATAGGCAACGATTAATCGCATCCAAAATAAAAGTTTGTGTTTACATAATATATGTGTGTGTTGTGTGTATAATTAATTTGTATATATAAATACCCACACATGCATGTATACATTTAAGAAAAATGTGTTAGTAATATATCAAATATTTATATTTATATATAATATTAATTGTGAATAAATATGTATAAAATATATACATGCACATATTTCTTAAATATATACATGCATGTGTGGGTATTTATATATACAAATTAATTATACACACACTACACAAACATATATTATGTATACACAAACTTTTATTTTGGATGCGATTAATCGCGATTAATCGTTGCCCATCCCTATTCCAGACGAAACTGGACGAGTGTAAATGCATCTGGTTGTTGAAACCGCGCATGTAAATTTTCCTCCCCCCAAAAATGATACAAAAATAAACGTGTGAGAGCGTGTTTATAGGCTGTATGACATGTTTTAGCCAGATATGACAGTGCTGCTGGAACATGCATCAGTGCAAATGAGTAGCTGAGCATCTCTTCACCAAGCCAACGAACAAACTGCCGCAAATGAAGTCGCAGACGCTCAACACACAATCATCTTCGTTAAAAGTAGTGAGACTAGTTGATCTTACCAGTGCTGATGCCGCTCTCTCTCCTATTGCGCTCTTTGATCTTGAAATTAGCTGATGATAAATAAAATGCAGCTCATGTCTGTTGCTTTCGTTGACGTGTACTAAAATTTGCATATGGCGCGGAAAATGAAGTTCGGATTTATATTACTTATGCGGCCAAGTGTGAATAGAACGGTTTTAACAAATCAAGCTATCCAATCAGTAAAAACTAGGGCTGTCAAACGATTAATCGTGATTAATCGCATCCAAAATAAAAGGTTGTGTTTACATAATATATGTGGGTGCACTGTGTATAATTATTTCATATATATAAATAAATACACACACATGCTTGTACTGTATATATTTAAGAAATATTTTCATGTATATACTGTATATAGATTTATATATAATTTATATTATATATAAATTAGGGCTGTGCAAAAATTAATTGCGATTAATCGCATCCAAAATAAAAGTCTGTTTACATAATATTTTTGTGTGTGCTGTATATAATTATTTTGTATATATAAATACCTATGCATGCATGTATATATATTTAAGAATTATTTGCGCTTAAATTCTGTATGTATATATATATATATATATATATATACATACACATATACATAATCTATATTATATAAATATAAATATTTTATATATGAATAACAATTTTTTTTAAATATATACATGCATGCGTGTGTATTTATATATACAAAATAATTATATACGGCACACAAAAATATATTATGTAAACACAGACTTTTATTTTGGATGCGATTAATCGCAATAAATTTTTGCACAGCCCTAATATAAATATAAATATTTTATATATAAATACAATTTTTTTCTTAAATATACATGCATGTGTGTGTATTTATATTGTAAATGTGGCTCATCCAATTAGAATTTAGAGTATTTTATAAAAAATAGTTATCTTAGATAAAAATGTACATGCACTGATGATTACATTTGTAATACATAATCTGATATTTTGGTTGTGACTAATAAGTTCCAAACAACAACAAAATTAAGAAAAAGAACCTTTCAGTATGATAACTATTTAAGCTATTGAACAATCCAAAAATGTGGGGGAGGTTATACTGTAAAATATTTTTATAGCATGTAATTGAAGACTGGAATAATGATGCTGAAAATTCATAAGCGTCACATGACACTTCAGAAATCATTCTAAATGCTGATTTGATACTCAAGACACATTTCTGATTATTATCATGTGGAAAACAGTAATGCTGCTTCATACTTAGTAGAAACTGTGATGCATGCTATTTATTTGAAATGTCCGTTACATTGTAAATGTCTTCATCACTTTTGCTGAATTAAATGCATCCTTGATGAATACAACTATTAAATTTAAAAACATTCTTAATGAATCAATTTAGCTTAATTTTTATGCAAAAATGATTGTGTTGCAACTTGTAATACATACAGTTGAATTACTTTCCTAATAAAAGAAATACAAACAGCTACAAAAAAAGACTTGACCAAATACACTTCAAGTGAACAGTGATGAAGGGCGTACCTCCTCATCCTCAGGTTCAGCCTCATCCAGGTCTGTTGTGTTGAGGGAAGCCGGGGGCTTGTGCCAGGCCAAACGCAGCTCCTGATTATTTAACCGAATACCGTGGATGGCCGCCTGAGGAACAGAGTTGAAGTTTAGAGTCCACATGAAGGCGTTCATGTATATGCACACATGTGAATATGTCAGTACCTGTTCAGCCTCTGCACGGCTTTTGTACGTAATGATGGCACTAAGACTAGAATCCTCCATCTGGCAATCTTCAATCTCCCCATATTGCTGGAGGTTAGTGGAAAAAGTGGTTTTGAGTCGAAGACGTCTCTCATAAGCAGTGTTGATTTAATACACCCTTTAAAGTTACTCACTGCGAAGTGCGGCAGCAGGTCGACTCGATCCGCCTCAGTGAAACCGCTGATCTCTAAAGCTTTGGGTCGATGATCCACCACAGCGTGATTTGGAGCTCCTCTCCCACGCCCTCGAATCCCTCGGCCGCGGCTCCTCATGGACCCACGACCCCTGGAGTGGGCCCCCCTCCCACGTCCTGAGGTCAAAAGCCCCCTTTTGGCCGCCTGAATATATAAAAAAAAGATCTAATACAAGCTTATAGACTTTAAGTAGCACTGTAGTGCCACCTGGTGGACGGTCTGAGAATGAGTAAGAAATAAACCAAAACCAGGGAGTTTTCTTTACAACCCAATCAGAATTTGAATACATCTTTATTTCTCAAGCTACTAGCTAACACACTGCAAATTTATGGATTGACATCCATATATTAATGTAAAATTGAATTTGAAAAATGCAGTGATAACCATAACCAATTGCAATGAGACTAAATAAAAATTCAGATATTATAAGTCAAAATAGATGTGTGAATTAAATCTTGCAATCTAATAAACCTGCTACTTGTTCTATGTAATGTGTGATGTGGTTCTTTGCTCTTCAGGGAATTTTTTGTTCATTAAAGATTTGCTTTGGTATTACAACAACCACTTTTTGTAGAAAGATTGCACTTTTTGGTACATTTGGTACAGTGATGCCTTCAAGTAAATATGACTTTAATTGTTCCTTTAGTCTTCATTTAGTAAAAAAAGAAGAGAAAAAAGCAGTCTAGATTCATTTAACCGTGTTGATTTTGCAGTAAAGAATTATGTTCTATGTAACAATCGCTCTTCTATCCAAACCAGTCTTTTTTTCATTAGGAGTAATGCGTTTTTAAATGTTTTGAGAGCAAATACAAAAGAATCAAGATATTTAATATTGTCTTGGAAAAATATATACATTTTAGCAAGAAATAAATCAAAAAGTGAGGTGAAGAATGTGATCCTTGTGAAATACCTCTAACTGCAGCTGAGTGTATTTAATCTTGAGTTCGGCAGTATCCTCTCCTGCCTGTATTTTCTTATAAAGGTCCAACTCTGTGTCCAGGAGCTCCTTCTGGGCCTGCGAACGGACATGCATCAGGATATACATATGCAGGACAATTCATGTCTTGATTATCATGTTTTGTTAGAGTGTGTGTGTACCTGGGCTTTGCTCTTGACAGTGGTCTTCAGGACGTGAGCACTGGACAGTCCTTTTATCTCCTCCTGGAGTTTGGTGATGCTGTTGGTGAGGGTGGTGAGGGTCTGCATGATCAGAGCTTTATCCTCCACCTTCATGGACTTGTTCTTCTCTAGCTTAGATATCAGCAGCTGAATAGGACACACACACAAGTCTCAGTCAAAGTTATTAATGCCAAACCCCAGCCAAAAAATGTGTTGATCATTTCGGGTATGTAAATATCTTTGAAGCGACTCCCATGAGCAAAGAATTGTGACGAATGTTGTTCTAGAGTGACGTAAAAGTCACATGAATTCCGATGTGACCGTTTGCATTGCAAAACATCCGACCTGTATCGGATTTAGGACCACATATGCAAGTGCCATAAGATCAGATGTGGTTTGTGCTGTTCACACTGTCATGAGAAAAACAGATCTGAATCACATGAGCGAAAAAATGTTTTTCGCCGTATTTGCCTGCAGTCTGAACATAGCCTTGCATTGATTTTATCAAAAGCAGAGTATAAAGAGTAATATTGTGAAATATTGCCATTTAGGGTAAGGGTTAACTTTTCTATTTGAATATATTTTAAAATTACATTTATTTCTGAGCTGGCAAATCATCATTACTCCAGTCTTCAGTGTCACATAAACCTTCAGAAATCATTTTAATATTCTGATTTCTTTTTATTATCAACGTTAAAACGTTTCCTTTTTTGTGGGAACCATGACCCTCTGATGAATAAAAAGTTCAATTTTAATAAATTTAATGTGTAAGTGCTGAAAAAAAGAGTTAAATTTTTTAAAAACAAACAAAAAAAAATCTTCCTGACCTCAAACTTTGAATGGTAGTTTACTTTTTAACTTCATCAACATCATTAAAACAGAACTGTTCAACTCCGAAAAGAAAAGAAAAATTTGGTTGCTGTCACTAATTAATATAACATATTCACAACAAGACAAAAGGGCAACAATTAATGACACACCTTCTGAGTCTGAATGTGCTTCTCCAAAATCTCCTGTTTCTTTTTTCTGACGTCCTGCTGAAGCTTCAGCGCCTCCTGGTGGAGAACAACAGAACCAGAGTTCATAATCACGCATAAAAAAAAAAACAAGCTACTAACGATTTGCAATTTCCAGCACAATTACACAAACCTGTTTTCTTTTCAGGGCATCTTCAGTGCTGACCCTAGTCCCAAATGGCACCCCCTTCTGGCCAGCTTTCAGTGCAGCAGGGTTATAAACAGTCTTAGTCAGGCCAGTAGATGTGGAAAAGACCTGTAAAGAAATTAAAATAAAAGCTTTACATTACATATAAACAATTAAAAGGGTCTCAAAAGAAACCAAGTGGTTCACAATTTGAAATGAACATAGTGACAACATATTCTACACAACCATGTGCTCTACACAACCATGGCTATGCAAAACTAGACGAAAACAAACCTTTCCTCCGAGGCCAGCTGGTTTAGCGAAGCCCAGGCGCTCCTTCACTGAAGCTTTGGTTGTATTCTGTAGAGAACAGAAAAACAGACATGCTGAGATCTGAGACAACATGGAAGACAAAGCGAATCCAACAACATTACAGCCTGATAAATCCACATGAACAGAAACACAATCACCTGCGGAGGGACGTTGGGAACCTGTGAGGGCTCAGGGTGAGCTGTGGGTACGGGTCCGAGCCGGTCTTTCACTGACTGTTTCAGTGTGGTCCCTGCAGGCTCCTGGGGAGACTGTATGCTCTACAAATAACAAATATGGCTTCTATCATTTGATTTTACAGCTGGAACCATCTAACCTGCTATTAAAAACATCACTGCTGAGTATTTTGGGCGAACATCATGCCAAACACATTAAGATCATGTGACAATATTGTAAGAATTTGCCCTAAAAAGCAAAGGCATGTGTACTGCAAACAGTATAAAAGTTTTTTTGTGTTGTGGAAAGGCATTGGTTGTAATTAATGTCCCATTAATATATAGCCAAGTACAATTACTAAGTGAACTGTTCGTTACAGTGTTGAATTAGTGTGTTTAACAAATTATTTAATTCTAAAACATATCCTATAATAGGATTACAGAAAAAAAGTTTTCAAATTTTCAAGTTTATGTAAAAGAAATATGAATTGTATTGATGTGATTGCATGTATTGTGCATGTGTTATTTAAATTGTGATAAATATGTTAACATTGTGATATGTATATATATTAGAGATGACCAGATCAAGGTTTTTGTGCCCAAGATCCGATTAGAGCACTGATTTATATAAATTACATTTTAAAATACAGAAACCAATTCATTTAAATTGAAATAATATTGCAAATAAATGCAGCCTACTTTCAAAAACCTTAAAGGAGTAGTTCACTTTTGAAAAAACTTTTGCTGATAATTTACTCACCCCCATGTCATCCAAGATGTCAAGCAAAAAGATTGCTCATTTAATAAATACATAACAAAGTTTCAGTTTTATAAGCTCAAATGCTCGCCGTGCTCTGTTCTGTGATGCCCGTTCGTGACTCTACTGTTCGAACTCCTTCATCAAAACGAACTAATCTTTTTCCGAGTCATTTGGTTCATTCAACGAACGAAACACAGAAAAAGATTCGTTCATTTAGATGAACGAGTTCGAACAGTAGAGTCACGAACGAACGCTCATCACAGAACAGAGCAAGGCGAGCATTTGAGCTTATAAAACTTTAACCTTGTTATTTTTTTATTAAATGAGTGATCGTTTCGCTTGATAAGACCCTTATTCATCGTCTGGAATCGTTTAAAGCCCTTTGAACAGTTTGCAGTTTGCACTGAAACTGTCTTTTGGACCTTGAACCATTTGGTTCCCATTGAAGTCCATTACATGGAGAAAAATCCTGGAATGTTTTCATCAAAAACCTTAATTTCTTTTCGACTGAAGAAAGAATGACATGGACATCTTGGATGACATAAATTATCAGCAAAAGTTTTTTTAAAAAGTGAACTACTCCTTTAATGTTTTAAACTTTTGACTGGCACTGTATGTGTTTATGTTACAGTATTTATTTATACGTGCGTGTGAGTGTGTGTGTTACTAAAATCAATCTGAGATAAATCTATGTTTGTATCTATTACTCAAATTGTGGTTAAATATATAATTTATATTTTTAGTGGCACTGGTCACTAATCAACCCTGATATTGCTCGACCACTAGTTCTAGCACTAGCAGTTCAATTACACCTGATTATTCCAAGTCATAGGCTGTGTCCAAAATCTCCCACTACTCACTATATAGTGGACTATATAGTGAGCTCGTCAATTTGTAGTGCTGTCCGAATGTATAGTGATGATTATTATACCCAATACAGTCCACTCAATGTATCCCAGAATGCATTTTGAAAAGTAGTGTACAACCGATGGTCACTAACCCAAGCCCCACATACCATCATGCATTGCGCTGATCGTAAAAATGGCGGACGGGCGACAGCAATGACAAAATCAACGGCGCCGAGAGACGATGTGAGTAGTGTCCGAAAGTGGTGTTTCTATTATGCTGGTGAGCACTATACACTATATAGTGCTCTACTCCCTACCCCCTACATAGGGGTTAGGGAGTAGTGGTTTGAGTGGAGATTTCGGACACAGCCATAGTATGTTTCCTGGAGGTTTTCATACCGGATGTGGCGTGGTGTGCACGTGTTCCACTGTGTCCTCTCTGTGCCAGTGTACTCTGATGAAGCGGTTGTTGAGTACCGCCTCTGTGCTCTGCATGGCCCGCTTGGCTTCTTCAGGGGAAGCAAACTGGATCAGCGCCCCCTCTGGGTCATTATTATACGCCACCTGAAACAGACGAGACATGCCTGTAACATCAACACATCACAACTGTTGACTTTTAACCACAGGCTTATTTGAGCTACAGTACCTGGAGATTGACTATGGTTCCAAACTTGCTGAAATGCTCATTAAGTTTGCTGATGTTGTTGAGCTCATGAGGAATCTGACGGATGGCCAGTTTGGTGTTTATTACAGAGTAGGGCACTTTTCTTTGAAAGCCGTGGTGGTTGGGTTTGTTGAAGTTTGGTCTGAGGAGCAAAAGGGACACAAATATATGCAGGTCAAAAAAACAAAATAAAACAATGAAACAGCCTGAAGAGATGCAACAAATGTACACTGCACCAAAAAAAAAATAGGGCTGGGCAAAAATTAATTGCGATTAATCGCATCCAAAATAAAAGTCTGTGTTTACATAATATAATTGTGTGTGCTGTATATAGTTAGTTTGTTTATATAAATACCTATGCAGCATGTATATATTTAAGAATTATTTGCACTCAAATTCTGTTTATATAAAAAATACATAATCAATATTATATAAATATAAATATTTTATATATGAATAACACATTTTCTTAAATATACACATGCATGTGTGTGTATTTACATACAGCACACACAAATATATTATGTAAACACAGACTTTTATTTTGGATGCGATTAATCGCAATTAATTTTTGCACAGCCCTAAAAAAAAAAATCATGATTACTTTAGTTGGATGCATAAACTTGAGATTTGGACTCAAGCATTTGGAGAGACAGTTATTTTTATAGAGAACACTACACATTTCCAGCAACAAATGCAATTATGAGGAACATATTGGTACATTTAACTAAATAAATGGCATGCACCAGTCATGGACTGATATTTACATTCTGAAACTAAAAAACAAAACAAATGTGCATCTTAGTTTTATGCTATTTATGTAGATAATGTTTATAACAACGTACTTGTCAAACCAGGGTTTCTTAGCAAGAATCGCTCCATCATGTGGTCCTGCTCCTCTCTTCCTGGAGTCTGATTCTAAAACTATCCGAGTGCTGTTGTTGTTTGACATTTTCTCTGAAAGAATTACACATACACATAAAGAGGGAAGAAAATCTAATAGGAGCTTTATTACATTGATGAAGAGCGGGTTAAGCAGAGAGGCCAGTGCTCACGGTTACCTCTGTGGGGCAGATCCACCTCACCCATGGTCAGACCAATCAGATTGGGCCGCTGAGCGTTGACTCGGTGTCTGTACATGGGCCGCGAGGTCATGCTTGGGGCTTCAGGATTATACACGTCTGGCTCAAATGAGTCTACAGATCAATAACAATCATCAGCATCTTTATTTATTTGGTAACTACAGTCAAAGACGGTTCACTCCTATAACTTATGAATGGGAGAAACTAAAACAGGCAATATGGAGGAATATGTCCCGCCTTCTCTGATAGGTAAAGTTATTGCGTCACTACAGCTGTCGTTAAAAGCTCCGGTTCCCAAAGAAACCTGAAACTTGCCCTTAAGACTGCACTCGCTGGTCTAGCCTGAAAAGGCTTTTTTGCAGTTATTTGAGCATAAAAACAACATTTATGGGACAGTTCATGTAAGATTTTGTTGCTGATTTGAAACATGTTATTTAATGGTGAATATTTAATTTTGAGTTCGAGATTTCAGAATCCCACATTCAAATAGGACTTGTTCTTGGATGCTTGAAATGGGGCAGGTCAGGTGGCGTTGCAAATATGGCCACCGAGTGAACAGACTTTCCTTGAAAGGGACTTGACTACCATTCGTTTGATGACAGTAATTTGTTTTTTTTAATGAATAGCTTTTTATTCAGCAATGTTATTAAAATTCCCATTTTAAATAAATGCTGCTCTTTTAAACCATCTGTTCATCGAAAAATGTTTAATGGTTTTCAGCCATCAATGCAGCACATCGGTTTTAAACTTTGATGTTATAAGAAGAAACCTACGGGAGCCTCTAAAGGCACAGGGTGGTGGAAAAATTTGGGATGGGAGAAAAAAATGTTTTTTAAATCTTTTGTGTTTCCTCGCAAAACCTGTTGTGAGCTCGAACAAACACTTCCTGTTTAATATCCCGCTGGCATCGTTTCACACAGCCCCATTCGTTAACAATGGAGCGGTTCATAGTGTTCGAATTAAAAGACATGCAGTCCGTGCTTAGTTCAAGGAGTTTAGTAAAGTTGCCAATATATTCACAGATTCAAACTTCCCGGATAAATAACTTGTGAGCTAAATGCTATAAAAACACAAATGACACCCATTTCCTGCCGGATGGCTATATGTGATATATATGCTGAGATATTCCACAGCGTTGCAGTGTTGTGTTTTTCCTCATCCATTTGTCCATCAACTTATAGCATTAATCAAGGTTTGATGTACCAAAACCAGTCATAATTTACATATATCATCATATGACTCAGTTAATATAAGTTCAGGCTCAAGATATGACGGTCTACATAAACACCTTCAAGCAATCACTGTATTAGACATGACTCATCTATGAGCACTAACCTGATGTGAACAGGGGTGGTGGAGGTTGGGTGATCGGAGGCCGGATCCCTGACGTGACTATAGTCGGCACAGAGCTGGTCATGGAGTTCGGAGGGGCGTCCATACCAGAGGGCTGCAGGGCAGGAAGAGGAGGAGGAGGACCTGAAAGAGAGAAACAATTTATAAAAGACATTCAACAATAAAGGGGACCTATTAAGAAGTCGACTAGAATAGGTTTCCAAGCTTAAATGTTCAAAAAGCAACTTTTTTTCACATATTTGATATTGTTGCAGGACCTCTCTTCTCAGTCTTTCAGTAAGGCTTTGTTTAGTTCTATGAAGGCTTTGTTTTCTGTCTCTATGAAGCACCTAATTCCAAAAAACACAATGTGCTCTGATTGGTTGGCTGGACCAGTGTGTTGTGATTGGTCAACTGTATTGTGTTTGGGAAAGGTCACACCCCTTACCATAACCGTGACTTTCAACACACTACTAACTAACTACACCAGGCCTCTACACTTTATTAGCGGATGCTTTGAGCAGGAATTATTTAAATGACGAATATTATGATGTGTTCGTTCCCAGTAATAAACTCAGTACTATAATGAAGGCATTTAAGGGAGTTCAGAAACAGTGACACTGATATAGAGAATTAAAAAAGCAAAAAATTCAGATCAGTCTAGAATCAGTGCAATGTCTAGATCAGGTAAAATAATTTAGTATCATAGTTAAAGCCTTTATGTGTATTATAAAGGCATCCATAATGTAAATTAATGCATTATATATTTTCATAAATTATTGTAACCAAAGATGAAATGCATTTGAATAATTGCAGATTCCTTGTTACATCCATGTGTTTTAATGAAATATACTTTATAAAAGGTCTACAATGAATAGAAAATTATTATAAATGTGGTAGAAATTATTCATAAGATCATACAATGCATTAGAGAGCCAAATTAATGCATTGAAATTACTTAGTACTTGTTACTACAAACGATTAATCGCGATTAATCACATCCAAAATAAAATTGTGTATACATAATATATGTAGGTGCACTGTGTATAATTATTTTGCATATATAAACACACACACATGCTTGTTTATATTTCAGATTTGAAATCTTGTATGTATTTCAAATATATTTCATATATTTTCATACATATACCGTATATAGATTTATATATAATTTATTTTATATAGAAATATAATTATTTTATATATAAAAAATATATTTTTCTTAAATGTATACATGCATGTATATATATATATATATATATATATATATATTAGACCATTTTGCAAGATGTAAACAAAACTGGTCCAGAAGCACTTCCTGTTTCAGTTTTTTAACACTACATAAAAGCTGGGGTAAAATACAACCAACAGAACATATAAAACTGAATCAAAAAGTTAAACAAACATCTTTAAGATTTTTTCTTTAGATGTGAAATAAAGAAAAAAAGTTACAAACTGAAACAGGAAATGTTTTTGGACCAGTGTTGTTTACATCTTGCAAAACTGTGTGTGTATATATATATATATACAGTGCCTTGCGAAAGTATTCGGCCCCCTTGAACTTTTTGACCTTTTGCCACATTTCAGGCTGCAAACATAAAGATATAAAACTGTAATTTTTTGTGAAGAATCAACAACCGGTGGGACACAATCATGAAGTGGAACGAAATTTATTTGATATTTCAAACTTTTTTAACAAATAAAAAACTGAAAACTTGGGCGAGCAAAATTATTCAGCCCCCTTAAGTTAATACTTTGTAGCGCCACCTTTTGCTGCGATTACAGCTGTAAGTCGCTTGGGGTATGTCTCAATCAGTTTTGCACATCGAGAGACTGAAATTTTTGCCCATTCCTCCTTGCAAAAGAGCTCGAGCTCAGTGAGGTTGGATGGAGAGCGTTTGTGAACAGCAGTTTTCAGTTCTTTCCACAGATTCTCGATTGGATTCAGGTCTGGACTTTGACTCGGCCATTCTAACACCTGGATATGTTTATTTGTGAACCATTACATTGTAGATTTTGCTTTATGTTTTGGATCATTGTCTTGTTGGAAGACAAATCTCCGTCCCAGTCTCAGGTCTTTTGCAGACTCCATCAGGTTTTCTTCCAGAATGGTCCTGTATTTGGCTCCATCCATCTTCCCATCAATTTTAACCATCTTCCCTGTCCCTGCTGAAGAAAAGCAGGCCCAAACCATGATGCTGACACCACCATGTTTGACAGTGTGGATGGTGTGTTCAGGGTGATGAGCTGTGTTGCTTTTACGCCAAACATAACGTTTTGCATTGTTGCCAAAAAGTTCGAGCACCTTCTTCCACATGTTTGGTGTGTCTCCCAGGTGGCTTGTGGCAAACTTTAAACGACACTTTTTATGGATCTCTTTAAGAAATGGCTTTCTTCTTGCCACTCTTCCATAAAGGACAGATTTGTGCAGTATACGACCATTGTTGTCCTATGGACAGAGTCTCCCACCTCAGCTGTAGATCTCTGCAGCTCATCCAGAGTGATCATGGGCCTCTTGGCTGCATCTCTGATTAGTCTTCTCCTTGTATGAGCTGAAAGTTTAGAGGGACGGCCAGGTCTTGGTAGATTTGCAGTGGTCTGACACTCCTTCCATTTCAATATTATTGCTTGCACAGTGCTCCTTGGAATGTTTAAAGCTTGGGAAATCTTTCTGTATCCAGATCCAGCTTTAAACTTCTCCACAACAGTATCTCGGACCTGCCTGGTGTGTTCCTTGTTCTTCATGATAGTCTCAGAGGTCCGTTTAAAGCACAGAGAGCATCACAGAGCAGGTGCATTTATACGGAGACTTGATTACACACAGGATTCTATTTATCATCATTAGTCATTTAGGTCAACATTCAGGATCATTCAGAGATCCTCACTGAACTTCTGGAGAGAGTTTGCTGCACTGAAAGTAAAGGGGCTGAATAATTTTGCTCACCCAATTTTTCAGTTTTTTATTTGTTAAAAAAGTTTGAAATATCCAATAAATTTCGTTCCACTTCATGACTTTGTCCCACCTTTTGTTGATTCTTCACAAAAAATTACAGTTTTATATCTTTATGTTTGCAGCCTGAAATGTGGCAAAAGGTCGAAAAGTTCAAGGGGGCCGAATACTTTCGCAAGGCACTGTATATATATATATATATATACACACACATACAAAATAATTATGTAAACATATATATTATGTAAACACAAACTTTTATTTTGGAAGCGATTAATCGCGATTAATCGTTTGACAGCCCTACATAATGGCTTCAAATAGTGTTACCGGAAAAAAATGTTCTCACCTGCTACAGGTGGTAGACTGGGAGGCATGGTGCCCGGTGGAGGCACAGGTGGTCTGAGGTTCACTGGTGGAGTCAGGAGTGAGTGAGGGGGTGGCAGACCCGGAGGAGGCGGGCCATCCACTCCCGGAAGAGGCGGAGGCTGGAAAGGTAGTATGCTGGGAAGATTAACATCCTCCACCACCACTGGATCACTTCCATGATCGAAAGGACACATGTCTCCTCGCATACAGAAGCCTTTCTCTGTCAAGACAAGCAAATCAGGATGTTACTTACATAAGAAAGATGGTCAGTCTGTGAACGCTGTTCATTTTAGGGAGTTAAAGATTCTATACCATCATAATCACGACAGCGTTTCCTTGGTGGACCGGCCCTGCTGAACGGCGCGAGGTCCTGTGGGAATTCTGACCAGCTCTCAGTGGTGTTGTTCCCATGGTGTGTGGGGGCGATGACAGTGATGGTGCTACTGAGGGTGGGCACTGGGAAATGAGCAGTGGTGGTCCCGGGTGTGAGAGGTGTGGCGGTGTAGCCGTCGGCGGTCGGGCCCTCCTGACGTTCAGGACGGCTGTGGTCGTATTTTGCCTTTGCAGAATCTCGCTCTAGAAAGGCAAGAAGAGCATTCAACAAGAGCATGAAAAAAGCACAAAAAAGCAAGCACTGTTAATGGTGCTGTAGTGTGAGAATCGTATGCAAGTACTGTACAGTTTTCAGCAATAAATTAATACTTTTATACAGCAAGGATGCTTTAAATTGATCAAAATTGACCTTTATTATGTTACAAAAGAATTCGATTTCAAATAATTTCTATGCAAAAAAATCCTGGATAAAGTTTTCACAAAAATATGAAACTGTAATCAACAATTATAGAAGAGATGTTTCTTGAGCAGAAAATTATCATATTAGAATGATCATAACATGTGACACTGAAGACTGGAGTAATAATGCTGAAAATTCAGCTTTTTCATCAAAGGAAAATAGTACATTTTAAATATATTCCAATAGAAATTATAATATTTCACAATATATGTGTTTTTACTGTATTTTAATCTAATGAATGAATCTTTGGTGAACATAAGAATCTTCTTTCAAAAACATTTTTTACAATATTGTTACTTATCACAAACTAAAATTACTTTTAGTTAAAGTGTTTAACTAAAAATAGTTCACACAGTCTATATCAAAATGAGTCACAAAATATAAGTCTGTTTAAAATAGTTTTAGATGGCATTATTTCATGTCAAGTGTACACATACAAATTCAAATGACAATAAATATCACCACTTAAGGGGTATATATATATATATATTCAGCATTCAGCATATATATATATATATATATATATATATATATATCCTTTTGAGAGTTCATGTATTTCTTTTATAAAGTATATTCATTATCACTTAATATATCCACACTATCCATAATAATAATTACATCAGCATGCATTTATATATATATATATATATATATATATTTATGTCTCTGGTATCAGGAAAAAGGTTTATGGATCCTAAAGGCATCGTGAACACACATCCAACACATATGATCCTTCTCGGTACAGATGGTCAAACTATATTGAGCGTTGTTATATTTAACTTTAATTGTTGTATTAAAATGTTTTCTTTCTAGTATATTTCCTTTCTGGGGAGCAAATACCTGTTTTTATACCAAATAAGTGAATGTTTTGGTACACTTAACTAATAATAAGTAGCTCAGACTCTCTCCAGCCTTGATGGTAGCTCTTATTTGTCCTATGTGAATGCCGTAACAGTGAAAATAATAGGGAAATAGAGATTTGGTTTGTGTTTGAGTGTTAAAACATAAAGGAGTCATTGAAGCCAATAATTTAAGGCAACATTTATCTGTTAAAGTCTTACTCCAGTTAGACTAAAGTTTAGTATTAGTCTTCTTGGTTGCAGGTTAAGGAACCACTGCCATTATTGGAGATTGAGTTGTTGTTCAGGACATACTGGTGCCCAGCAACCCAAATCTGTGACCTGGAAGGTCAGATGCATCATCGGCGTAGATATGCTTCGTCTATCTGTATACGTGTGGAAAATTACTGTGTTTCTATTTCTTAGCCAATGAGAATCAACGTGTAAGATGCAGCTTAGACCTTGGAAATGGTATAACTGCTGTGATCTTTGTAACTGTATGAAGGCGGCCTACGAACACCTGTGTGAGTCTTGAAGCTGACTTCTGCTGATGAAACTGCAAAGTCTATTCAGTTAAACTTCTTTCATTTTTTATAAGTCTGACTCCGGGTCTTCATTCTTTATATCTGGTTCTGGGTCATTGACTGTATACCCCTTACACCACCAAAGTAAAGTGCCGTCACACACCTCTGCTTCTGCTCCTGGTGCGAGTCCGTGAGCGAGTTCGCGATCTGCTGCGGTCCCGGTCTCGATCCCGATCTCTTTCTCTGTCACGAGTGCGGTCCTTACTCCAGCTGCGACTGCGACTCCGAGTGAAACTGCGACTGCGTTCTCTTCTGCGGTTGTAGCGTTCTCGGTAAGAGTCCCTTCTGGGTGGGTTACGGTCATACTCTCGTTTCCTGGTGCGGTCATCTTTCTTGCGCTCATCTATTCTCCTGTACATTCATTTAAAATAGAACAGAAAATACAGATGAGGTTAGTAAACAAGGCAGCTTAATATATGTGTGTGTGTGTGTGTTAGGCATTTTGGGAAAGTTAAATTTTTATAATGTTAGTCTCACCTGCTGTCACGGCTGTACCTGGAGCTCGACGGAGGACTGTGGTTTATTCTCCGGGTGAATTTCTTTTCTCGATCCTCATCTCGGCTGAGCTGCTCGAAAAATAATCAGAACCAAACACTTTAGAAAACAGACATTTAAGGAAAAATGTCAAAATAAAACTTTAAAAGTTTGGGGTTGGTAAGATTTTATGTTTTTGAAAGTTGCCCCCCTTTTATTTGATCAGAAATACAGTAAAACTGTGAATTATCATTAATAACTGCTTTCTATTTGAAAATATATTAAAATGTCATTACTCCAGTCTTCAGTGTCACATGACCCTTCGGAAATCATACTAATATGATGATTTGCTGCTCAAGAAACACTTTCTGATCATCATCTGCTTCATATTTTTGTGGAAACCGTGATACATTTTTCAGGATTCTTTGAAAGTTCAGAACTTCACGGTCACTTTTGATCAATTTGACGCATCCTTAATGAATTTCTTTCAAAAGTAAACAAATCTTACTGACCCCAAACTTTTGACTGGTAGTGTAAACAAATCATTTAAGGACTTTTTGTATTTTTTACCTCCTCTCTCTTTGATTCATCTTTCTCAGTGCGCTGGTGAGGTTCGGTTCTGCTTGTGGAAGTCAGATGCTCTGGTTGAGGTAGGTAGCTCTTTGCATTCACAGCTTCAAAAAGTTTATCCACAAATATCTGTGTCTCTGAAAACAAAATCAACAGTTTGGTTCGGACAATGCAGCAATTTAAACATAGAAATATGTGGCATGGAATTGAAGCAGCTGTCAGCCGAATAATATCAAAGTAACCTCAGAAAATTATTGACAACAACCAGCTTGAGATGATCCAACTAGTTAGGGTTCTTCCCCTGGTTTTAGCAAAAGCCACTTATATCTTCAAAACATTATATTGGATTGCACCTTTCTGAAGGAATACATCCAACTGGTCAATGCATAGTGCTTTCAACTCCTTCTCGGATTTGTCTTTCTTCACCAAGGCAACCACATATTTCGCAAGAGCAGAAGGGTCAGCATCACATCTGCGGGACAGATACATATACTTCAGTTAAGAGGTTTCACTTAAATCATCTTTAGCTGACATTGAGAGTGTATAATGCAGTTCTGTCCTTGATATGACAACCTACAACATCTTTACAGCAAATTTAACGTTAAATAATCTGTAGTACAATTGACTCAACTGCTAGGAACTCATAACTACTAAGAAAACCAGATTCAAGCATATAGTTAATACCACTACATTCTTGTGTTAACTGCTTCAAACTAATATACAAAAAGAGAGTCAATGGATTTGTCAGTTATAGTTTAAGTCGCATAAAACTGAACCCACTGACATTCAGGAAGATTTAAATATGAAAAAATATACAGCATCAATGTGCGAGGCTCATTTTAATGCACAGTGCATCACTTACATGGGTTCAAGAGTCTTCGAGAGCCATGTCTTCAAGGCATCGAGGTTTTCAATGATCATTTTTCAGGGGAGGGCTGTTTTTCTGCAGCTGTGCCCCTGTGAGAGTGGTCAACAACAGTGAGTTTGTAGTCTAGTCAGGATATAACGTTAGTCATGTGTTTGTACTGTCAGGCCTCGTTCACTCACTTAACGTTACTCACCGCCCTCATAAACTCCGGCTGAAATATCACATCTATTGTACAGCAGTCAGGGAAGAAAGCCGGTAACTGAGAGCTTAGATACGGTGTTTAATTTAAGAGTTGGTAGGGGTTGGTTTCTCTGCCGATGTGAACGAACTGTCCGCCACACTTTCTGCTCTTTCTTACTTTCGAGAAATGGCGACTGTTTACTCTCGCGGGCACATCTCGCGAGAGCACGCTGCCACCGACGCACACAGTCACTTCCAGAGAGTTTCTTAAAGGGACAGGCAGCCTCACGCTTGACAAATCAGATTATACAGTATAAGAAAATATGTTTCTTTAAAAAACATTTCAACTTTTGTGTTATTTGAATTTATTTCATACATACTACCCAGCATGGCACGTGAACATCAGATAATCGTTAACATAATTGTATTATTATAATAATTATTAGACTATTATTAACTTTTATTATTGCCCTAATTTATAAGCTAAAATCTCAGAGGGTACTTAAATTAGAGCAGTAGGATTTCTTTCGAAAGGAAATTTAAAAGATTAAAAAAAAAGTGATACTAGTATGAGGGCAGTCAATGAATTATTAATAATTTACTGTCATCATAAGAATAACATGTAATCAATAATAAAAATTATGAGCATACAATCTAATCACAAGCACTTTATATATATATATATATATATTCAAAGTACTTGCAACTATAAACTAACTCATGTGTGTGTATAATTATTACAATATAATTATTTTATTTTATGACGTAACCGTGTTTTCTTCCCATTCTTTATTTTTAGTCTACTCTTTTCTGTATTATTTTAAATACACATTCATAAATCTTAATTGTTTTGTATCATCCATTGTTTCACACTAAAACTATATTTGTCATGTCATATAGGACTCATTAATGAAAACAAAATCTAATGATTTGCCACTGTGACTCTGTGATACATAAAATACTAAATGCACACAATGTCTCATTCTAATGATGTTGTACAATTACACAAATAATGTCATTGTATTTTATTAAATTATTAACTATCAAACTATCATTGAGTTCAAAAACAACTTAAAAACATCACTGTGAGTTTTCAACAGGACTTTAATGATAAATCTTCACGTATAACAAAGCATTTTCTCTGTACAGATCAAGGAGACATTTAAAACAAATCTCTTACAATTTGCCGTACCTGGAAAGTGCACACAAAAAAAAAAATAATAATACAATTCATAGACAGAAATAAAATTCATGCTGTACATTTCATACTGGATTCATAAATAAGCACAGATATACACACATCCATTAGTGACGGCTAAAATAAAAGCAGCTCAGTAAGTCACAGGACTGACATGACGGACGAGTCGCCGCTGAAGTTTGTCTGGCCGTCCACTGGGGTCACGAAAAGGTCATGCTATCGAGTCACTGATCATGGAGTCTAATGTCCATGACGAAAGAGAATAAAAAGGCACTCCATTCGTTTTAAAGGAAGAAAAACGCATTTACATATAAAGAGATATGTGAATAAAAACAGCCACCTTGGGAATCTCCGGTTTAAAAACAAAGCGAGATTTAAAATGCATTTAAAGAAATCATAGCATCGATCTAGATCTCTCGGTATATGAGCAAACAGCAGATGCAGGGAGCACTTTGTGACAGGAAATAAAACAAACAACACGTCGATTTAGACTTCAAATCTAAACTTCAGCACCATGGCAAACTAAAGCACATATATGGAAGAACATACAACACATACCAAACAAAACTAACATCCTGATAAAGACGTCTGCGTTTTGGTATTCATTAAAGGAGTAGTAAAAAGAAAAAAAAAAAAAAAAAAAAAAACTTTTGCTGATAATTTACTCACCCCCATGTTATCCAAGATGTCCATGTCATTCTTTCTTCAGTCGAAAAGAAATTAAGGTTTTTGATGAAAACATTCCAGGATTTTTCTCCATATAATGGACTTCAATGGGAACCAAACGGTTTAAGATCCAAAATACATTTTCAGTGCAAACTGCAAACTGTTCAAAGGGCTTTAAACGATTCAAGACGATGAATAAGGGTCTTATCAAGCGAAAAGATGGCTCATTTAAAAAAAGAATAACAAAGTTTAAGTTTTATAAGATCAAATGGTCGCCTTGCTCTGTTCTGTGGCGCGTTCGTGACTCTACTGTGACGAACTCGTTCATCAAAATGAACAAATCTTTTTTCGTGTCATTTGGTTCATTCAACGAACGAAATGAACGAGTTGACTCTTGGAAAAGATTGGAAACGAGTTCCAACATAAGAGTCACGAACGCGCATCACAGAACAGAGCAAGGCGACCATTTGAGCTTATAAAACTTTTTTTTAAATGAGTGATCGTTTCGCTTGATAAGACCCTTATTCATCGTCTTGAATCGTTTAAAGCCCTTTGAACAGTTTGCACTGAAACTGTCTTTTGGACCTTGAATCGTTTGGTTCCCATTGAAGTCCATTATATGGAGAAAAATCCTGGAATGTTTTCATCAAAAAACCTTAATTTCTTTTCGACTGAAGAAAGAAAGACATGGACATCTTGGATAACATGGGGGGTGAGTAAATTATCAGCAAAAGTTTTTAAAAAAAAAATGAACTACTCCTTTAATATCTTCAAATTATTGATCACTTGTACATTTCAAAACAACCGTCCTTTAGTAAAGGAATGAATCGTGTCACTCAGAAAGACATTAGTGTAAGAAAATGAGACTTAAAACCAACTAAGCCCTTTCAAGAAAAGATAGCGTCCACCAAAATACCTCAGTTAATGTAAAACAATACCATTGTGACTATAATTAACTAAAGCATTTATCCAGAAACAGGGAAACAAAAACACACGTACACACATCTTATGGTGAAGAAATAAAAACTGCATATGGAGGAGCGAGAATTCAGACGTCAATCAGTAACGGTGAATCCTCGAGAAGGCCTGGAAGTTTACCTGCATAGTAAACCAAGACTGCATGGCTTAGAAATATAAAAGAGGAGTGGGAAACAGCGTCTCACCTGACTGTCGAATTACACGGCATTGGTTCTAGCTGTCCCGTGGCACACAAGTACCCCCGCTCCCCTATGTAGTGCTCGGTTTGGATACTAGGAAGACTGCGGTGCATCGTTTAACCGGTGGAATGCTTCAATAAGTGTCATCAGAAGGACAAACCGTATTGCTTACTGTCTCGCAAAGCCCTTCGAACTATTCCCACTTTGTATTCATAGTGTTTTATCCCCAAAAAAATGCAATAAATCAAACTGTAGTACTGCATTTACATCCACAACATTGCATTCTTCATTGAAATAACTACATCGTAATTCAAGTAATGAACATTCAACAGTCATACACACACACATACACACACAAAAATCAACCTTAGCACTCCACACACATCAGTTTTGTTATATGATGTGTTGGTCTATTGTGAATAATCGTCCACCTCTGTGCAAATAAATTACGCCTGTGCGTCCACGGATAAAATAATCGAGGAACATCCAGAAATCACTAAATGGACACGTACTACAAAACCACATAACATGTTGTTATGATGCTGACGATGACTGTGTGGTAATGATGATCAACATAAAATGGGCGTGGTGGAAAAGACAGGGAGGGCGGGGTCAACATTGGGATTTTCACAGAATTCAGACACATATAGTCAGATGGTGCCAGCACCAGTCCAACTACACATACGAGGGAACATGCATACGTTTGGCTCTACAACACACAGATTTGCATACAGGTGCTGAAAAGTCCTTCTTATTGGTTCAGAGAGAGGAGAGCCTTCCTCTGAACTGAAACAATGGGTTTGGGTGATTGATCAGGCGGGAAGGCTGGGATTTAGGGGGCGGGGTCAGGGCTGCTCTTGGGTGTGATACTCTGTTTCTCCAGACGAGATCTGAGTGAGACGCTTACTGGAGCCCCAGAGTTTCCTCGTAATCTGGCCAGAACGCATCTGAGGAACGGAGAGGAGAGGAGAGTGCAGTGAAGGATAAAAGGAAAGAGGAGGTGAACAGTGGGGAAAAAAGATGATTGATGAGTGCATGTGAGATCATCTGTGCTGGATTCACTTTGAGGTTAGTGCAAAATCAAAAGCTACATTTCAAGTGAGGCAACTCAAAATAAGATGAGATAAGGAAATGATAGTTGTATGACTATGTATGTATACAAACCCAAAGGCCCGAAATATACCCTATGCAAATACGCAAACACAGACTGAGTGCTTCGCAAATGGCAAACTGAATTAGTGTTTTGCATTTTTTTTTTTATATACTTTTAGACTTATAGGAGTAGTTCACTTTTAAAAAAACTTTTGCTGATAATTTACTCACCCCCATGTCATCCAAGATGTCCATGTCTTTCTTTCTTCAGTCGAAAAGAAATGAAGGTTTTTGATGAAAACATTCCAGGATTTTTCTCCATATAATGGACTTCAATGGGAACCAAACGGTTCAAGGTCCAAAAGCCACTTTCAGTGCAAACTGCAAACTGTTCAAAGGGCTTTAAACGATTCCAGACGATGAATAAGGGTCTTATCAAGCGAAACAATCGCTCATTTTTAAAAAAAATATAAAGTTTTGTAAGCTCAAATGGTCTCTGTCCTGTGATGCACATTTGGGACTCTCCTGTTCGAACTTGTTCATCAAAATGAATAAATCTTTTTTGTGTCATTTGGTTCATTCAGTAAACGAAATGAATGAATTGACTCGGGAAAAGATTTGTTCATTTTGATGAACGAGTTCGAACAGGAGAGTCACGAACGCGCATCACAGAACAGAGCGAGGCGGCCATTTGAGCTTATGAGCAATCGTTATACTTGATAAGACCCTTATTCATCGTCTGAAATCGTTTAAAGCCCTTTGAACAAGTTTGCAGTTTGCACTGAAACTGTCTTTTGGACCTTGAACCGTTTGGTTCCCATTGAAGTCCATTATATGGAGAAAAATCCTGGAATGTTTTTTAAAAAACCTTAATTTCTTTTCAACTGAAGAAAGAAAGACATGGACATCTTGGATGACATGGGGGTGAGTAAATCATCAGCAAAGGTTTTTTTAAAAGTGAACTACTAACTAACCTCAGAAATCAATGGGGGAATAGAGTTAAATTCAAATGATGTGTGCTAATTCAAGGAAATCAAGTGTGATTAACTTTAACTTGCTAAAAAAAGATTCTCTACAAGCATGTTCCACTA